GCAGCTTGCTCAAGGCCACATAGGTCAGTTATTTGGGAGGGCGCAGTGGAGAATTGACCTCTGAACCTTTGGCTCCACACCCAAGTACTCAGTTCACAGAGCTATCCAGCCAGAGGAGTGTGTGGCCTTGGGCAAGCTGTACAGTCCCAGGATGCTTACAGGTGAAGGGAACAGCAAACCCCTTCTGAGTACTCTCTACCTAGAAAACCCTGAAAAGGGTTGCTATAAGCCAGCGTTTATTTCACAGCACACATTATCTATATTAATAATTGCCATTTATTATGCACTTGGTGTCACAAAGAGAGCAGAAGAGAATAAGTAAAGAGTTGCTTTTTTTCTTTTTCAGTTTTTCAATTCTGACTTACAAATATTCTCTCCCTTGAGTAGTTTTTTTTTAAAAGTACCCACTCAACCAATAAGAGACATTACAGAAGCAGAGGAAAACTGGTGGGGGGCAGTTTTCAACCAGACACTTTTGCCTAACTATTCCCCCTTGCAAATGCTCTCAGGTTACTTCTGATTTATGAATTAATTACTTCCAAAAAAAGTCTTCTCACAAACGGCCCTGCTCAGGTCTTGCAAACTAAAGGCCATGGCTTCCTTTATTTGGGTCATCTATTTCATGTTAGGTCTTTCTCTTTCTTTGCTAATTTCAACTTTTCCTAGCATTATTATATTTTCCAACAAGTCATGCCTTCTCACATGATACTCAGAGAATAGCCTCAATTTAGTCATTGTAGCTTCTAGTCACAATTCAGCATGACTTGACCTAGAAATTATTTGTCTAGCTGTCTGCCTGTCTGTCCATAAAATGATTTTGTTCCTGTACCCAATGAATATTTGCAGTATGATATCTAGTGCTATTAACCCAGCAGGCAGTCAGGTAGGCAGGGGTTCAACAGTTCTTGGCCTGCTGGTCTGACTTGATCCAGCAGGCAGGCAGTCAGGCAGGCAGGCACGACTTGGTTGGAACTTGGCCTGAGGAGGCAACTGGAATCAGCAGCTGGAGTTCTGACTGAGAGGCAGGTTTAGGGACCAGCAGGCAAGTAGGCAGGTCCTTTTTTCCCCAGGAGGACTGGAGGGTGGGCAGGTGGGCAGGCAGGCAGGCGCAGGCAGACAGGCAGTGTGTTAAGGGAGAGACTGTCATTGGAACCCTACCTCTTTGAGTTCAGTGAGGGGAAGCCCGACAAGAGAAGGTTCACCTTGATGAATGACAGTCTCACCACAGTAACGGGATCCAAACACGAGCGGTGTGGTCGGAGTATGTCTCTGAGATGGGAAAACACGTGCTCACTCTGGACACTGGTGGGGGGGATGGAAAGGAGGTCTATGGCCACATTGGACAACTCCAGCCATATGACTAGTTTCCTAACCCAGTAATGGAGGGAATCTGACTGATGGGGCTGAGGGGGCTCAGCCAGATATTCCTACACCATTATCTCTGCCGAATCCTCCTCAGCTGGCTATCTTTCTAGAAAGGGCTTGAGCACCTCAGGGAGAGGGCCAGCCAATCAGTGGCACTGATGCCCACCTCTCTCCCCCTGGGCAGAATGGCCATGGAGGACATGATGTCCTCCAAAACAGCCTTCTACTCCACCAGGTGGGACGCCATGGTGTAGGTGGAGTTCCACCTGGTGAGCAGGTCTGTCAGGAGAACATGGGTCTCCTGACCAACTCCTCCTGCCTCTCACACGGTCGGCGGGCAGATTTCAGGCGGCGGGAAAAGTAGCCCACCAGTTGGCGGCATTGCTCCAGGAGGTGCCTCCTCCTGCCTCTCTCCTGCCTCCCCTGGAGTTGCTCTTTTCCCTCTCCCAGATGGCATGGACAAAGTGCCTTCCCTAGACAGTAGTACCCCTCCAGATGTTGGTGGAGGGTGGTGGAGGACGGGATGCCTGGGGTCTGACCCCCTCCAGACCGCCCCAAGGTAGGTATTGCAGTGTACCAGCTGTGGGTCATCGCTGAGTGCCATGAAATGATCCCACATGGCCCCTCTGCCATGTTTGCCCAAACGAGGACCCACTGCCTGCCCCCGATTGCTGGTCTGGGAAGAACTCTGTGTCCCAGGGGTGCTCCTGGTCTGGGAGGAGGGAACAGATGACTCTGGGAACAGGGGTGGGTTGGGGACTGTGAAGCCTGCTTTGCCGTTACTGGTTCCAAATCAGACAGGGATCTTCAGAAACCAGTAACTCCTCAGATTCCTCTAGGAAGAGGAGCGGCAGTTCTTTTGGCACCTCTGGAAGCTTTGGTTCCATGCTTGCCTGCAAGGCCACTGGAGGAGGAACAGTGGCACTGGTTATCATAGACATGGTTGTGTATGTGGTGGTCATCATGACAGTGCTACTACCTAGCCTGCGTAGCTTCACAGCCTTCTTTCCCTTGGATTGCCCCTGAAGAAATCCCTTCATTTTCTACTGCCTGCCTAACAAACCAACTAAACAAATAGAGCAATGGAGATTGAGGAAGGAAAGTAATAGAGGGTCAGAGAGTGTGTGTAAATCTTATTTTTAGAATGATGGTGGTGTAATTCTTTTACTAAAATGTGACCCCCCAATATAATGTAATTGGGAAAGTCCCCCCCAACCTACTGTGGCAGAGAAGCCAAAAAAGTCTAAAAAGAAAAGCCCTGCCAGCTAAGTCTCAGTCACACACACCCAAATAAGTTTTGGAAGAAAAAGGAATGATGGATCCAGCCAGCCACCAAATTCCCTGAGAGACACAAGCCTCTCTAAAATGAACTATTGAAAACTGAATAATCCTCCCACCTAGACACGCACCTGCACACACAACCAATTTGGGGAAAGGAAAAAATGATTCTCCTAAAATAAACTTTTGAAAACTGAATATAAAGGAAAAGAGATTTCTCGTCACACGATGACAGTTCCACCACCACCACCAGAC